ACACACACACACACACACACACACACACACACACACACACACACACAGTTAGCTTTGCTCACACAGGATCATCTAGAAATGCTCAAACTATCTATTACGATCGACATTTAATCCCCTTTTTACCTCTTAAAAAAGAAAGTTGTCAGTCAGCTATTGCTAGTGGGCGTAACTGCACAATTAAATACAGTTAATTACCCACGATAGCACTAGCCTAGTTTGTGTGTGTGTGTGTATGTATGATGTATAATGTTTCTTTTTTTAAATAAAAAAAATGTATCACACAAAATGATGAATTTGGTTTATAAATGCACCTTCTATTGACACTTAAAAGTCTATAATCGCTCTAGAAAAATGGATACACTGGTCTGGTCTTATTTGAAGAATACCACTTTATGTGTGAGAATTATCATATGCCAGGTTTTGGTGCATGTGCATCAGTTCTACATCGGGCCTCGGTGGTTTGAGCCATCACGCTGTCTCTCTCTACAGAGGAGTGAGAGACACGCAAGTCTCCACATGTGTAAAGGTGATTCGGACCCAACTGCTGACAAGGATGCCCCGTCTAAATGTTGACTGGAGGAGGAAAGACATTGCACTCACATATTTCTTTTTGATGATATTCCGTTTGGGTCTGTCTGTACTCATCTTGCCAAGCGGACGCTAACGGGCACATGAATTACAGAAGCCTGCTTCTGTTGATTTTGACACTCTCGCTTTGCTTTTCACCACAGGTGTGAAAATGTGGATTCCAACCGCTCAGTTCTGGAAAAGAAGAGTCAAGAAATATACATTACAAAATATAGTGAAGCCTTTTTCTCTTAAAATGTTATTTTGACTTGATGGATGGTCAAAAATAAAGACACCAACAATAAAAAAAAAAACAAGCACAACAATCGGTACAAATGCAAAGAGATTTGTAAACGCAGTCATATTCGAATTGAAAACACTGGCAGTAAATGTTCAAAATAAAATCTGCAGAGATTTAATATAAACCCTTTGGATTGTGGAAACAAAAATGATTGAGCTATTACCTGACTTTGGCTAACGTGAACTAGCTGCCAGCATGTTTCATGAGTCAGAAAATAGATTTGTTTTTTCAGTATTGTGTTGAATTTGATTTAGTCAAAGTTGTTGCATTGCTATTATTGTGACAACAGCAAAACAAAACGACACATTTGAGAAATTTAGCTTTTTTCCTATTTTAAAAATACTTTTATAGACACCCATGTACATACTGGGCAATCTAAAGCATTGTTTTGTATCTGTATACTAATATCGAACCCTAACCAAAAATAGGAAATGTAAACTTTTGTTAAAAGAGTAATTCCAGGCTCCAGTGTTCTGATAGCTTCCACTAAAAACAGTGTATTAACTGTGTTTCTTCTTATAATGAGGCCTGGACTCCCTGCTCCCATCCATCAACAAACTACTACACATTCACAATGGGAACTGCCCTTTAGCCTGTCTTGCTCAAGGGCACCCCGATGGAGGGCTGGTGATGTGGGACAGCAGAACACTGACTGCATCTTAGTTGTCGCACGTGCACTATGACAATAACATACTGCTTAGACTAAACCTCTCATCGGCTGCACTGGATCATATATAGCTTTAAAAAGGGAGATGGGGAGCGCCTCGTGAGAGGGCGCCGCTTTAAAACACGGTGCTTGTTAATGTCAATGGACAATTGACGTGTGTAGCATCTGCATCAGTCAGGACGTGTAACAATGATGATGACAGTGTATCACAGCGAGGATTTGACTTATAGTCAAATGAAGCTAATGTACAACAATGAGCGTCCATTCACCTGCAGCAGGATTACAGGTGCCTGCAGCCACCTTAAATCGACACATCTCTGTCAGCACAGGGTGTAATGGAGTGTGGATGGCAGCCTACATTTCTGTGTAACTGCTACGATCCTGACCATCCTGACCATCATTAAAGACGCCTAGCGATGCAGGTGGCTGTGCGTCTCTATTCTGCTCATACTAGTCCTTAAAACAAAGCGAGTACCAAACAATAATCGATCACCCACCTCCAGCAGGATTACCGGCCTACATCACGAGCACACCGGCGACAACCTAAGCGAACGGCACACGGACCCACTCACACTTTTTTTTTTTTTTAAACAAACCCCTGAACAACGATTCACGTTAAAAAATATCCCAGCGGCTCCCGTGTACACCGTTAGGCCCGGTGTGCCGCTTCGGTCTCGGCACCTGCACGGCTGTCGAGCGCAGGGAGGCAGTACCACTGCGGTCATGAGAGCCGCCGTATCCGAACCGAGGCCTGCCTGTATTTTAGTGCGTGTGTATTGTTTTAATTACGGTCGGTTCAGGCGAGGAGTGACTTCCAGTTCGCTTAGTGAGCGTCCGTCACGTGACCCGGAAATCGGCCGAGGTCCATCATCCCAGTAGTTCTGATCTATTAAATGGCAATCACCGAATTTCATCCTTTCTCATCCCTCGATCCTGGCGTCACACCGAAACCAGTACGCTCGTTTGAAAGCACGGTTATTTCTAGGCGACGTTAAGATTCTAATGCGCGTCTATTCTCGCAATTAAGGTACAGGCTGCGGATGATGCCCGTCCAAAAATAATTTATATAGAAGACAAAGACAAACTGCAATACATTCTAACTAGTGCTGGGCAACGATTAACATTTTTAATCGCGATTAATCGCATGATTTTTTTTGTGCAAAGTTCAACAATGAATTCAAAAGTAGTGTATTGCGCACTTTTATTTTAAAAATACTGCTATATGAAGAAAAGTGCAGTAACATTTGCTTTGCAAACACTTTAAAGAAATAAGGTGCTTTTTAACAGCAGTATTCCCTTTACACAGTAGCAGTTAAAATACAGTTATAATGATTCTGATCATAGCTATTCAGCCGGTGTTCACAACTTTATCTTCATGTGTGTAATAGATGCAATTTGAAATATACACCTTGAAAACTGCAAACCTATCTACGTCATGTTTTTATGTTTGTTAAATTCTCAGTAGTGATAACTAAATGATATGCTTATTATACATATTCCAAACAAAACAACTTTAAAAACTCTAAAAAAAATAATTTCAATTAATAATTAATTTTTTTCTTTTTTTGGTATTTTGGTCAGACACACATGCAACGCTGATTACCGTAATATGTGTGGTATTTGTTATAAATGTACGTTGGTACATATAGGGTGATAAGAGCTGTATTTGAGGGACTTAGGACCCAGGGGAATGTAGGTGAAGGAAACAGGAAGAGACGCCACACAAGCACAGCTATTCACTGCTCGCTTCCAGGTTCTTGTGTTAAAAATGTCTGCTTAATAATAATAAAAAAACTGCGTTAACTTGCGATAAAATAATTGTCGGCGTTAATTAATTAATTAACTTGCCCAGCCCTAATTCTAACATAACATAAACCTAATAAAAACAATATTTTATACACAACAAAACTTATTGAAGAGAAAACTTGAGCCCCTTTACAACACAATCACTACTGTCAGTGGGCCATAATGTCACAATGAGATAAAAGTATATTCATTTAGTTGAATTGACTAATCTTACTTTTCTTCTGATCGTGTTTGCGTAACATATTGTGTTTGAATAGTGCATGTTTTTCAGTAGTTATACACATTGAAATGTAAAACACATTTTATATTATTTAAATGTCACTTCAGATGGGAGGCCACAGTCTGCCCTCAGTCTTATTTTGAAAGGCTCTCAGAATTTCAGCAGTTTGATCGAATTTTGCATATTCTTGCCCTGCTGTTAGTTAGTGTTCTGCTTTTCTTTTCTTTCTTTATAATAACTGATGACTGTAACTATAGATTGTATGGAGGCAGTAGTAGAGGTGAAATGATGCCTCTCTTGGTGTGGAGCATGTAGCCTACTCTTTAAATAAATGAGCAAACGTACAGTAAAGGAACCTCATTCACAGATCGTTGTATTTAGTGTTGTGGAACAACATGTTTGGGGACATAGGGACGTGAGGACTCTCCAAATAAAATGTGCACAGACTGTTTTTTTAAGCTCTGACAGTCTAATATATCCTCATGTATTTATCATTATTACAATAGTAGCCTATAAAATGTCATGGTTGTCTCTCAAAACAACAGCTAAAAAACAATTAGTACGTCTTTAAATATGTGACAGTTCGGATAAACAGCATTCTAATTAATCATCTTACTCAGCTGTGGGCCCAATTAGCGGCAGGTGTGATAATGAAGTTGAGAGGCAGTATGAGACCAGACCAGACCAGACCAGGCTCTCCACAGGTGGCAGCTTGGACTCCAGCTTTTGTCGCTCCCGTTTGTCAAATCATGCCGCTCTTGGCGTGGTTTCTTTGGGTGTTGTTTCGTGGTGCACTGGGGGGTCCGGTCCAGCTCGCGACATGGTCGGAACTTGGCGTAAATCCGGTGAAGACAAATCAGGACGGAGCCCCGCGCCCTCTGTTCTACCACCTGCCCATGTTCCTGCACGCACCTGGGCCACTTGTGCCGCAAGAGCTGTTCCAGCCGGTTCCTCATAAAAGTCCGTTTCCCGCCGGACTGACTGCGCTGCTGTTGCCGACCACGGAGGAACCGCAGAGCGTCCAAAATACGGGTGCACGCGCTGTGCAAGTCTTTTGCGGCACCGATAAAATCTCTGTGCTCGTGGACCGCTTCCAGCTGCACGCGTGGACCACTCCGGCCCTGTTTCGACTGGGCTCGTGCCAGGCCAGCAGTGTCGGCCCCCGCTCGCTGTATTTCCAGTACAGACTGACAGAGTGCGGCGGAGTATCCAAGGTGAAGGTCACTAGAAAGAAAGGGTTCATAAAATATTATTGTTCGCTTTTAAATTTAAATTATTAGAGGCTGTAGAGTGCTGCGGGGATGACGTGTTTTTTGTAAGCCAACCCGGAAGTTAGCATCGCACTGGTTCCATCACAAAAAGCCTATGTGTTACTTTGTGACTATTCCTCAAAATGAGCTCTGTAGCAAACAAACGTTTATGATAATCACACATTATGCTAGTTACCAGAAGTCGGCAAAATTTCTTGATATGGAGTGCCATTTACAAATGTACTTATTACCCAGAGTGTCATAAGAACATTAAGGTTACAATTAAGTTGAATTATGACACCTCATCAACATTGATATCCCCAATAGATATGTAACTAACTAATGGGCCCATGACTTGGGACTACAGATGAAAAATAGCCTTTTGGCTAACTCTGGCGCATTTGCGGAAATGTTTTTATTAATGTGCACTGTCCCGTTCAAATAAACCAATAAATAATGAACTGTCAATGGTGGTGACAGAGGTCATTTGGCATGCCAACTTGAACATTTCCAAAAAATCTGTCTTGCACACTTAATGCTAGTGTGCTGTTGGTTAAGCTATTGTGTGCCAAAGGTGGTGCCTACGGTTGCGTATCCTATGAACTACATCACGGTCACATGATTTCACCACCACTAAGTTAAAGGCAGACTACTGTTTGATGAAATTTAGTGGTTTCATTCAGCCTCTTGTAAGCAACTGCTTTTTTAGGACTCGTAAAAGCTTCAAAAATTTAGGAGTGGGTGGCATATTTTATATTGTGGAACAAAACGTCCAGGTGTTAGGACTCATTCTAGTAGCACTCTATTGGCTGAGTTTTGCATTATTGGCTGCATGTCTGTGAACTCTTCAGTATGTTTTTGCACAATTCTGTATTGATATATCTCAGGTTGTTGGTGGTCAGCTGGTGTATAGCTATATGCTGCGTTATGTTCCACCGCCGCAAGGCTACATCATCAGAGTTCTACCTCTTAACCTTCCCATCCATTGCCATTACAACAGGTTGGTCATTTGTGTGCTTCCATATGGGGGCTCAGTGTTTGTGAAGTTCTGTCTCTATTTGAAAGTGTGAAACGCAACATTCCTTGTGACCTTCTGTGCCACT